AATCCTAGCTAAGGAATTTAGCTCATGTTTAGTTCAACAAAATCAGAATTAATAACAAATAACAGATCCATAAGGTCTCGGAAAGTAAATACAGAGAGAAGGAGAAAACAGCTAAGCTAGAATCTGAGGTCAAAAACCCCTGTATATCCGTGCTGTACTCTTCTTTTCTCCAGCTCCAGCGTCCAAAATCCCCTGTACTCTCTTCTGTCTCCGTTTCCAGCTCGTACAGGAATTCTGTGCGCCTCCCCTGATTTTTCTCCTCCTTTCCGGCTCTCTGTACTATACTCTTCTTTTCCTTTATATACTAGGACATGTTGAGGTGCCCTAGTGACAAGTGTATGCATGAGAGTCATGATTGATGGTCCCCCCTCCTGGTGCTCTTACAGCTGTCCCGTCAGTGCTTGGGCCACTACCAGTGCTAAAAGACAAACTGCGCCAGCTTGCTAATTTTTGGCTGCTCCTACTTTTGCTGCGACTTTGCTGCAGCAATGCTATGGCATTGGGGGCATTTCATCATTTGTGTTTTCCACCGTTCTTTTCTCACCAAAAGCCTACGTCAGCACCTCCTGAGGACATCATGCACTAAGTTCCCAGGGTCAATGCAATGAGTTGAATTGAGGAATAACTTCAAAATATAGCAAGATTTCCCATAAATAACAACTTTCTGCCACACGGAAAAAGATTAATAAATGCTATTCAAAATACTAACACAAAGGCATTTTACCCGGAGAATATAAACAAATATTAAGCCTAAAAGTATGCTAAATAACTCTATTTCTGTGAGTTATCAGGTAATAAGTTCCACTAAGCTTTAAGGTAACTTTGTCAAATCTACCTAAAAAGTTATACAAGAATTCGGCAACTTACCAATCAGTTTCATCAATAAATCATGGTCGTAATTTTGTACTAACATAATTTGTTCTAGCATATTTATAAGGGATGCATTGTTCAAGCATTATATAAGTGGAGTTCCATCTTATGAGCATATCTAAGGCTAATGCTCTAGGATTTTGATTACATGCTTGTAGAAATCTAAACCAATATTGTATTCTTTGATTACTACCTTAAATCCAAGCAATGTTATCTCTAATTCTTTTAATATGACCTGACATTGATTTTAAACCGGATTTTACTATTAAATTAATTATATGACATGCACAACGTTGGTGAAATATATCATTATTACCGAATAAACTTAAATCATTTTCAAAAAGTTCTATTGCTTTAGTATTTGCAAATGCATTATCTAATGTTATGGCCATTATTCTATCTCTTAAACTATATTCATCAATGACAGATAAAATTGTGTTATATATTAAATTGACAGTATGTGATCCTATAACACATTTAAAACCTAAGATTCTCTTATCCAAATCAAAACTTTTATAATAATGTCCGGTTACAGCTAAATAATCTTTGTTGGCAACGGCGGACCAAATATCCACCGTTAACGCAACGCAACCACTAGTAGAGTGTAGAAGGTTGATTAATGCTTCATTTTTTTGTTTATATAATTTTAATGCATCTTTCCTAAGAGTAGTTCTAGAAAAAAAAATTGTACATTAGGATTATGTACAATTTTAATATAACGCTGTCAATTTCTTTGTACAGTAAAACTAAGTGGTTGATCTAATGTGGCTATTAATCATGCCATTTTCATACGATCAGCTTGCGGATCGTATTTCCATGTGCTTAGACCGCCGGTTTGGCAGTCAAACGATAATTGTGTCTAGCGGAGATCAGCTCCGCCTCCTTACCTTTTGAAGACACTTTTCAGAGTGTCTTCTTAAGTGTGTAGTGCCGTGAATAGTGTTACCTTATAATTTATCACCACAATATTTACATTGAGCTATGTATTTAATGTTACCGTTATTATCGACCTACTCGAATGTGTTAAAGTGGTCCCAAACTGCTGAGGTGCGCTTGCATTTTTTCTTAGAACTTGTAACACTTGCACTAGTATTACCGTTTACCTCTCCTCCACGCCCACCAGTGCCATTACCATTAGGTCCACGACCTCTAGTACGTCCACCAGGGGTCAGATTTGCAGTTTTCTCAGCAACTCTTTCCGTAGTTTGTGATTCTTGCGTTTGAAAAACATTACGAAATTGCCCTTCTTCGATGTTGAATTAGGCATCAATGAGAATATCACCACCATAACCAGAAGAAGCCATTATGAAAAATAAGAGAGATTGAGAGCGCTTTGAGAGAGATTAAGAGAGATCGAGAGAGATTTAAGCGAGATTAAGAGAGATTTGAAAGAGATTTGAGAGAGATTAAGAGAGATTTGAGAAAGATTGAGAGAAATTGAGAGATAATGAGAGTTTTTGGGTGAGAAAAATAGTTAGGGGGACGGGGGGTATTTATACGAAATTTTTTGGCTTGAAAAAAAAAAAATTTCCCCCAAAAATTCGGGTCCAACGGCTAGTAAAATTTTCGGGTACTCGAGTCGGTTCGGGCAAAAGTCGGGCAGTTCAGGCAACGGTCAAAAAAATAGCCGTTGGGGTTTAAATTTTTGGCAAAAATCGGGCGGCAGACGGGTTCGGGCAAAAAGGTCCGTTGGGGTTAAAATTCGGGCAGAATTCAGGCTAACGGTCAAAAAAATTAGGGCATTTTCGGGCAACGGGCAAAATTCGAGCAAATTCGGGTTACGCCAAAAAATTCAAAAAAAAATATGGCAGACGGCTAGGACGACTTCTCCACCGGCGGCGGGGAGCCGGGAAATGATTTTTTTCGGGCTGCCCAAGCCCGTGCCCGACCAAATACCTCGAACGAGCGGTGAATGGCGCCTGCCTGCTGTGCCCAAAAATTTTCGGGCACCGAGCATGCTCACCGCCCGAACTTGCACCACTAGTCCCGGGTGTCCCAAAGGTCCCGTTGGGGGCGAGGGGGCACAGGTGGGCCGGGGGTGTCCAGGGGGTCACCGGGGTCCCAAGGGTCCCTGGGGTCCCGAGGGTCTCGGGGTCCCATGGGTGTCCCTAGGGTCCCAGGGGTGTCCCGGGATACTAGGGTCCCGAGGGACCCGGGGTCCCGGCGGCATCTCAGGGATCTCGGGGGACCCGTGCGTGTCCTGGGGGTCTCGGGGGTCCAAGGAGGCCCGGGGGTGTCCTGGGGGTCTCGGGGGTGTCCCGGGGGTCCCGAGGGTTCCAAGGGTCCCGGGGGTCACAGGGGTCTCGGGGCTCCCGGGTGTGTCCCGGGGGTCCAGGGGTGTCTGGGGGGTCCTGACAGTCCCAGGGGTGTCCCAGTGGTCCCGGGGGTCCCGGGGGTGTCCCAGTGGTCTCAGGGATCCCGGGGGTCCCGGGAGAGTCTCGGGGATCCTGTGGGTCCCGGGGGTGCCGGGGGGGACCAGGGATCCTAGGGGTCTCGGGGGTGGCCCAGGGGTCTCGGGGGTACCGGGGCTGTCCCGGGGGTCCCGCTGGTCCAAGGGGTCTCGGGGATATCCTGGGTGTCCTGGGAGTTCAGGGGGTCCCAGGGGTGACCCGGCGGTCCCGGTGGTGTCCCAGTGGTCCCGGGGGTGTCCTGGGGGTCCCGGGGATGGCCCAAGGGTCCCGGAGTCCCGCTGGTCCTGGGGGTATCCTAGGGGGCCCGGGGGTCCCGAGGGTGTCCTGGGGTCCAGGGGGTCCTGATGGTCCCGGGGGTGTCCCAGTGGTCCCGAGGGGCCCGGGGGTGTCCCGGGGGTCCCGAACGATTCCCAGGGTGGGTCCCAGGGGTCCCGGGGGTGTGTTGGGGGTGGCCCAGGGGTCCCGGTGGTTCCGGGCATGTCCCGGGGGTCCCAGGGGTTTCCCGGCGGTCCCGGGGGTATCCCAGTGGCCCCAGGGGTCCCAGGGATGTTCCGGGGGTGTCCCGGGGGTCCCGGCGGTCCCGAGGGTGTCCCGGTGGTCCCGGGGGCGTCCCAGTGGTCCCGGGGGTCCTGGGGGGCCCGGGGGTGACCAGGTCTAGGGGGTCCCGAGGTTTGCCCAGGGGTCCCGGGGGTCCAGGGGGTTGACCCGGGGGTCCCAGCGGTCCCGGGGGTGTCCTAGTTGTCCCGGGGGTGTCCTAGTGGTCCCGGGGTATTCCCTGGGATCTTGTGGGTCCCAGGGGTTCTGGGGGTATCTTTGGGGGCCCGGGGGTCCCGAGGGTGTCCCAGGGGTCTAGGGGGTCCCGGGGGTGTCCCAGTGGTCCCGGGGGTGTCCTTGGGGTGGCCCAGGGGTCCCGGTGGTTCCGGGCATGTCCCGAGGTTCCCGGGGGTCCCAGGGGTTTCCCGGGGGTCCCGGCGGTCCTGGGGGTATCCCAGTGGTCTTGGGGGTCCCGGGGGTCCCTGTGGTGTTCTAGGGGTGTCCCGGGGGTCCCGGCGGTCCTGGGGGTCCCCGGAGTGTCCCGGGGGTCCCAGGGATCCTGTGGGTGTCCTGGGGTGTCCCGGGGCTATCCAGGGATCTTGGGGGTCCCGGGGGTGGCCCAGGGGCCCGGGGGTCCCAGGGGTGTCCCGGGGGTCCCGGCGGTCCCCCGTGTCCTAGTTGTTCCGGGGGTCCCAGGGGTGTCCCAGGGGTCCCTGCTGGTCCCGGGGGTCCCAGGGGTGTCCCGGGGGTCCCCGGGGTCCCTGGGGTGTCCCGGGATCCCAGGGGTCCCGGGGGTTTCGAGGGGGTCCCGGGGTGTCCCGGGGGTCCCGTTGGTCCCGGGGGTGTCCTGTTGGTCCCGGGTGTGTCCCGTTGGTCCCAGGTGTCCCGGGGGTCCTGGTGGTGTCCCAGCGGTCCCGCGGGTGTCCAAGTCGTCCTGGGGGTTGTAGCGGTCCCGGGGGTGTCCATGAGGTCCCGGGTGTCCTGGGGGTCCCGGGGGTCCGACACTCGACTGGACTGAAAACATTAAAAGAACTCTTTTTTATGAAAATATTTATGTATCAACATAGTAAATAGAAAGTGTACCATGCTTATATCTAAAGTTCCCAAGTCTTTGTTTCTTTCTTTTTCATCTTTCTATGAGATCCCAAGAGCAAAACAAGCTAGTGATAAAGCTTTTCTTTTATTTTCTCCAAAGCAAAAACATCTTTCTTTCTTCTACTGAACTTAAACCATTTTAAAGGAAACCACAAAATGAACAACAAAAGCCAGAAACTCTCCTAGTGCCTATGGATAATGAAAAAAGATTACACAATAATTTGAATCCCAAAGGTCCGCAAAAGCAAGCAACATATACAATCCTTGGATTGGATCAACTGACCGCGTAGATAAAACCAATTGGCATAAAGTTTGAGCCCCATTCTGTAATGCAAATTGAGAAAAGCACATAGGCGACTTAGATACGTAATAGGACATGGGACAGCCCGGCACAGCTTTAGCTGGTGAGCAGGCAGGATAACTTACATTACAAACCAAATGCCGACTGCCCCTTGATGGCGATCCTAGCAAATATCTTCTCAATTAGCTTCTGAGAAAATCTTTCAATGAAAATGGAGGAAGTACATCCTGCAATACCAACACATAAATTGTAAGATCAATTAGCTTCTGAGAATATCTTAAATGAAAATGGAGGAAGACATCCTACAATACCAACAAATAAAATGTTAAGAATCCACGCAATGCCCATTACTTGCAGTCATTCACATTTCTTAGACTGCAAAACAACTGCCCCAGATGCAATCCACTCGTAAAAATAAAGAGAAAACCATACAGTATCAGAAATTTGAATAAAAAATAAACGACAATGGAGTGCAGGTTACCTTCCCAGTCTCTTGACTTAAGCACTGTCTAACAACTGTTGTTTGTTGTATGAGCCTTTCCATCGCAGTATAACTCGGTAGATTTGCATGTTCTGACAATGATCATAAACAGCAAGAAAAGAATAGCTAAAACATATGACGATCTGAAATGAAAGTTATCAGGAAAATGCATGCTCTCGAAACAAATATGGTAAAAGAGGGAAGGAGGAACTCAGTCAACAAACCAAGAATTGCCCGATTTAAACTATCTGCAACTTGCTGCCTGTAGTCCATGCTGAGCAAATGAAACATTGGGGATTTCTCTGGTTCCTCATAAGCAAGCAACGCGAGAAAATCCTGCAGCAATAACAAAAGTATGTTTCATTTCTGATAGAGAAACAAAATCATGGAGTGAGAATGGATAAAGTGTTTGAGCATACTTCAAGCTTGCTAACATATTTATCCATCTTTCCAAAGGGGGTCAGCTTGGTCTGGGCGAATTCCAAAGCTTCTGTGCTGCCAAAGAAGTAAAGAATTGAAAACAGGAAATGCATAAGACATGCTTCTCAAAACGTCATTTTTACCTTGCTCACCATTTCCTAGAGCGGACAAGATTAACAAAATGAAGGCTCAGTACATCAAAATGCAATTCTTTATTTTTCTCCAGTAAGTCGTGACCCAACTGTTCCGTCAGTTCAATGGCCTCAAGGGCATTACCCTCTAATGCATAATTGATAATTCCTGAATAAGAATATTCAATTAGCTCTCCTTTTATCAAGCACACCAATTTCATCCACATCAAAGATAAATTCACCGGAGGAAAACTGCTTACTTTTTCTCCTCTCCATGTCCTCGATGTGGTCAGCAGACTGCTTCATCCCAGTGCAAGCAATAAATGATTCTGCAGTTTCTTTATAACAATTATGTACAAGATATGATATAACAACGTTGTGGATGTCATTGTCATTTATAGCCTGTAAACAGTACATTATCAATTTATCAACCACGTTAACTTATATAAATACAAATAAGTGGAATGAGCTTCTGCCTTGAAATGGGAGAGTGCGTATGCAGTATCAGAAAACTTAATTGAAAACCCATAAACATATGGGTCATAAATTAAAGGAAAGGAAGAAGAATGCAATCATCAAAATAGCTCAAAACATCATTTGGGCTCGGAATGGATTTAGACAGAACACAACATCAATATGGATTTGATAAACTGAGAAATTCCCAAAACCTATTCTCTTTCGCATATATTGTTCAATATCAAGTAATCCTAACTTGTTCATCCACAAACCACTGGAATAAATTAGATTTCAGAACTGAAAAGTATTAACCAATCACGAAAAGACATAACTTTGACCACTTTTAATCCACATAAAATCGAAAAACGGAATCAATCAAGACACCAAGCTTAGGGCTTCCACGTCTAATAATCATCCCATCAAATAAAGTCAACAAGTCCAAACAATGCGATCGATACAATTACGCCCAATCATCATATGATCAACCGATTCCATCAACTTACAAGCTATAGAAATGAGATTCCGAAAAAACTGAGCCGAAATTAGAGAAGAGGAATATGGAACTCACAACGTGATCGTAGTGACGAGGATCGACGTCCATGATTCACCGCCACTGGAAGATGAAAAAAAAAGAAAAATGCAGCAGATTGGGAAATTGAAATTGGAGTTTTAGTTTTGGGGAAGAGGAATAAAGGGGGGATTTAGGGCATATAGGTATTTTTGTTACCTGAGATTGAGGAGCGGATTGAAGACCACGACTGGGGCAGTGAGAACGAGCGAGTCAGGAGTTGAGGAAGAGTGGCACAATCGGATCTTGTAAACCGCAACCGCAGATGTCTCGATGATTCTTCTTCTTGTACACGTGAGACGTGATTGACTTTATTGCGCCCGCCCTCCTCCTTATCTCGGGAACGGTATGTCCGTATGTAAATACACATATCATAGTATCATATACGAGTTTTTTCAAACAAAAAAAAAGAGGAACATTTGCCCCAGAATATATCGATGGGCGTTTGAAACTCATTTTAAAATAATTTTATTTTTTATATAAAAATAAAAATAAAAATATTTTTAATTTTAGATATAAATTATTTTTAAAAATACGTTTAGTAGTTTTATTAAGATATTATTTTCAGTGTAAAAAAAATTCATTAATGTCTCTTTTTGTCTCTCTATGCTCGAGAGAGGAGAAAATAAAAACAAAAAATGAAAAACGACTAAAAATCGTTTTTCATATTTCTCTCATTTTACACTAAACTAAAAAATCGTTTTCATTTCTGTTTCTTGTCTTTATTGCGCCAAACGCCGTTTTAAAAACGTTTTCATTTTTTCTTTCTCGAAAAACATAAAAAATAAAAACGGGATCAATTTCAAACATGAAAAACATTTTGATTCTTGAACTTTTGTGTGTGCTTAGAACTGTTTTTAAAAATTATTTTCACGTATTTTGAGATGCAAAAAATAAAAATGAAAATAAAACGACGTTTATTTAGTAAATATTTTACAAATGAAAACAGTGAGAATGGTTTTTATAAAAAAAATTAGAAAATATTTGAATGTTATTTTCAATTTTCAATTTTTATTTTTTAGTACTTATCAACAATATTATAATAGATTAATTAATAAACACGATTTTATTTTTTTATTATACTCAAAATAATCTCTTAAAAACCAACCAAATATAATTTTAGAATTGATCTCAGAATGATTCTCAAAACAATCTCATTTTTACTTTTTATTGAAAATAAAATTATTTTGAAATCAATTCTAAACGCACCATTTATTTTTAGCAATTTGTTTCTCCAAACTTGTAAAAAAAATTACAATATGTCTCATTTTATCAATTTCAATTTTATCAATTTTGCTATTTTTTTGTTAAATTTAAAAGATTGAAAGTTGAAAAATTAAGAGATTTGTATTACTGGTTGAATTAGGACGCTAAAATATTTGGTTGAACATAACTTTTTCAACACTAAATGAACATATCATCGTTAGAATGTGTCATATTATAATAGTATTACGAATTATCAAAATTATAAATTTAAAAGGTAAATTACTAAGTCTCGACAAGTTTAATAGTAAAACGTACAAAATATCTCTTCATATAGAGTATCACTTAAAAAAGTTAAACCATTAAAAACTCATCTATTAATATTTAAAAGGAAAAATTTGTATATATGCAATTTAACTTATTTCATTTCTGTGATTTGCGGTTATTTTTGTGTAGTGTTAGAGAAACACATTGTAAAATTTATATTTAAAATAATATATTTAAGAGAACATGTACTTTTGGCTTTATGGGCGCGTTTAGAACTTGTTCTAAAATGATTTTATTTTTTGTATGAAAATGAAAATGTTTTCAATCTCAGACAAAAATCATTTTTAAAAATGCCTTTGGAAGTTTCATCAAGAGATTGTTTTCAGTATAAAAAAATTCATTAAATCCATTAATGTCTCTATCTTCTCGAGAGAGGAGAAAATAGAAACAAAAAATGAAAAACGATTAAAAGTCATTTTTTATTTCTCTCATCTTACACTAAACTAAAAAATTATTTTTTATCTTTAATTATGCCAAACGTTCTGTCTCGTTTTCATTTTTTCTTTTTCAAAAAATGTGAAAAATAAAAATAAAAATAACTCCAAACACAACCTATGTTTTGCTTTTCCTTTTTTTTTCTTGCTACGCCTTATTGACTTTAGTTGTTCTTTTTACAATTCAACTCACACTCAAATTTTATTACTATAATATTTTTTCTCATAAAAATTTAAAATCAATTTTTTTGTTTTTGTATTTATTTTCCTCACGTATACAATTTAAGTTCCCGACTATTGTGTTATTTAAGAGTAAATTGTGTACTCACTCTCAAACATTGAAGAAATTAATGCAAAGGTAAACACTCGAGAAAGGGGAAGGGAATCAAAGGACAGTCATACATGATGATGAGAAGTATTTGAAGGAACATGGGAAAAATTAAGTTGGGTACAAATACTTCGTTTGCTTATATAATTGGTCAATTCTATGATTGTAACACTTTTTGTCTTGTACGATTATCATTAAACTATTAAACTGTCGTATCATATTAGCGTGTCAAAATTAGTGGTTCACAATTCTAAATTTGCTTCTTTTTTATTTTTATTTTTTTAATTATTGTGGGGAAGATATTTCCAAGCGGAAGACACCATAAAGAAAAATCTCATACGTTTCCCTTTCTTAACCAAGTAAGTCGCCACAAGTGTAGAGCAGCAAGTGGGAAAGGTTATAGTATGAGGTTGGTTAAATGTACTTTCCATTGCTAGTAGGAAGTCCTAGTGGCAAACACAACACCACACGTAGGAAACGAGTCCCTTTTTTAATGTGAAAGTGCTAATTAGAATTATTATTATCTGTGCCTTCTAAACTTAATTTACTTTTTAAATTTTAAAATTTTTTATTTTACGTCATGAATTTTATATTATTTTCATTTAAACTCTTTTGTAAAAATTTCTGTTAAATCATATAAAAAAAATTGAGTGTGGTCATGTAATTTTTATCAATTTATTTTTACCAAATATTCAAACAGAGAAAGCATGTGACTGCATTAGAGTAAAGTGAGAGTTTTTAAAATTTAAAAAATAAATTAAAAATGACCTTAAAGTTCAAGGACATTGATATAATCTTAATAATTGAAAAAATTTATAATATTATATATTTTAAAATACTTTCATTTTTATATAATTATTATATACTTATAATCTAAGATAATTGAGATTTTTAGAAGCAAGTTATGAATATTTTTTTTTTTGTTTTATCTTAACATTTATTTGTTAGGTTAAAAACACTATACTCTACACGTACTTTTCATAGTTTAGGTTAGGTATTGTAATGAATAGTTTTAGACTATTGAAATTTTATAGATTGAATGGGTAGAAAGAACATGTTATATTTATTGAGATCAAATTTTGTCACTTATTTCTTATTATACATGTGTCAACATATGTCTCAAAAATGGGAATTAATCACGAAATTAGCAGCTAAAACAAGCCGCAGACTGTATGCAGCTCGTGGGTTTCGAACTTGACTAGAATAGCATCTCATCATACGAGTCGTCAGATGGAGCTGCCAGCCTGGCATTTGAGATCTGGATAGATGATCTCCTTTTCCACAAATATCTTCAGTATATTTTCATGGGATCGCGCCTAAAATAGCAAAGGTGATGGCCGTTTCTGTATTAGGCCCATACAAGGGTCTAGGCCCAATAGTTCTATCCCGTGATGAGATTGGACTCGATTCATGGACCCAAACCATGCTCGGAGAACTCGTGTGGGCCGTGATTTAGTAGGCCATGGGTAATCGAACGGGCCCATTTGTTTCTTAGTTCGATCTGATTTTAGGTCCATTTGGGGGGTTTTAAAATAATTAGGCTAAGGAATGAATGGGTGATGGAGAATCCAACCCTAAAATCTTTTGCTTGCCTTTTAGGAGTCTTAGAAACCCTTTTTCTCAACCTTTAGAGACTCAAAAGTCAGGAATTTAAGTTGTGGAACCTTCCCCTCCGACGCCAAATAAGAAGTTTTTATGCTCCAAAGTTGGTAAGGATTTGTCTTCGTAGCAATCGTTGCTCCAGAGGCGTCACTATGGACGTTGCCACGGATGTCACCATAGAGATACTTCCCATGCTCCAAGAGACTCCTCTATGACCAAAGATACCTCCTATGCTCTAAAAGACTCCCCTGTGTCCGAATGTTCTTCCCGTGCTCCATGGAGACTGAATGTGTCAGGTGCTCCAATGACGATTGTTTAGCCAAAATCGGAAGGCGTTGCTTTAAAGCTAGTTTAACATGTATTCGGACCTTTGAGAATAGAAGTGTCCACGGAGAACTAGATTTAATCAAACATTCCATGATCTCCAGACTCGAGGAAGGTCAAATGTTAACAAGAATTTCATATTTGGTCTCCAAATACAACAATTTTTGGCCAATTTGTTTGTCAAAGAGGAAAGTCACCTAATGCAGGTGCTCCGGGGGGAAATGGTTCGTACAAGCCTTTAGCAAAGCGTTACTGTACGGCTCCGGAGCAACCACCCAAGACTCCCAAACATTCACCTATAAATACCCATTCGCTTCTTCATTTCGGGGGACACATTACACTTATGAGACTCTTTTTGACACACATTCTTTTTGAGAGATTACAACTTTAATTCATCCCTTTGAGAGTTGTTCTTCAAACTTGTGCTCTTCGGGTTTGAAGTTCTTCATAGAAATCTCACTCAAAAAGTCTCAACACACTTCTTTTTATCTATCCAAACTCGCTTACAAGCTACATTTGAAGTTTATGAGGTTTCTCCCGAGGTCTGAAAATCCGCCTCCGTGGCTGGACTCTGCCGTCCCAGAGCACACTTTCAAAAAATCACAAATTTCATCTGCTGATACACATTCTCAGAGGCAACCTGCGTTTGTTCTCTGAGCATTCCTCCTTTGAAACAACCTTATCCACACTCTCTAAGTCAAATCTCCATCAACCATTCAGTTACTCCTCACACCATACTTCGTCCATGCGATCTCCATGATTGAGTTCAACATCTTCCTATGTACATAGTCGAGAGTGCCTCAGCACTTGGCAACAAAGTGGGCCCTAGAATCTGATTTCTTTGGTTTATTTTGGGCCTAACCGATCCCTTCTTCGTTGGAGGTCCTACCGTACAAGCTCATCTGTGAACACTGTGTATTTCATCTGCGTCAACGACAACACCACCTAATCTGGTACTTGCATGTGTATACTAATACACGTCGTACCCATTGAATCTACGGGGCCTCAACACCCACTAAGCATCCTCTCTACATGCAAATCTTAGTAGAGGATCTTCAATTAAAATTCAAACAAGAAACTGCCCAAGGCATATTTTCAGCCATCAAGGGTCTATAAATGGAGACCGTGCACATATTTTCAGCCATCAAGGGTCTATAAATGGAGACCGTGCACGCCCAAGACATAAGAGGGGGGAACACACGCGCATGCGCTCTCATGCTTCTACACGCTTTCCTAGGCAAAATACACATTTTTATACTTGTTAGTATTTTTCTCATCTTATTTCTCGTGACTTTTACGAAGATTGCTATTGTAATTTCATTCTACGATCATAATGAAAATCCTGAAGACCTAACAAAGGACGTGACTCTTAATCGAGCGAACCTCTATAAGTCTTTGTGTACCTATCTCTTTTATTTTTTGTCGATCTATTTACTGCAATTGCGATATTAACATAATCACCCGAATTCAATCATTAGCCTCTAATAAATTCAATTATGGAGTTTCAGCTTCTACAATATTAAAAAAAAAAAAATGAGACCAGGCATTTTTATACAATATGATATTATAATATTATTCAAATAGCAAGGAATTTTATAATAATCACAAAAAACCGTTGTGTCATCCCACCTCATTTTTACCATTTTACTCTTACTTAAAGGGTCACATGCCAGCCATAATCCCTTTCAATCTATCTATCTATCTATATATAAAAAAGACAATTACTAAAATTTAACGGATTGGCTAATTGTATTTGATCATCATACCTCGGGATAATTTAATATATGAACTTAAAAATAAGTTGTCAAAGTGAGAAAATATTAAAGTTAGGAGTTATTTCCGCAATTCTCCAAAAATTTGCTAATATTAAGCATATATTTGTGTTTTGTTTGGGTAAGCATATATTTGTGTTTTGTTTGGGATGATTTTGTTTTACTTTGGATGTTTGGGATGATTTTGTTTTACTTTGGTTGTTTGGGATGATTTTAATAGTCATGTTAGTAGAAATACCATATCATGAATCATGATTCCATTGGATAGAATCCAAAGTAACAAAAGGGAAACATTTTTTCAAAATCACCCCAACTTTTTAATATTTTGAATGATCAGATTTTTCCAAAAACACGTGCGAGGCTGGTCCAATCAGAAAGCTCCAGTCTCTACAGAATTATTTTTTTTTCTTCTTTTTCTCAACAGATATAAGTAAGAAAGCAAGTTGTTGAAGGCTCTATGGTTCTCCACATTCCTACATTACCCAATCTGACAAACAAACAGTGTAAGACCAAACCCCTCAAAAACCTCCAAACAAAAGAGCTATCTGATCTCGGGCATCTCCCAAGAAATGAAGATTCTTTGTTTGTTTCTTCTCTCTCTTCTTCTCTCCTCCCACCTTTCTCTCTCCTCGCCCTCACTCAACTCTTCCCAACTCTTCGAGGCCTGGTGTGAGAAACATGGCCAATCATACTCTTCCGAAGAGGAAAGGCTGTACAGGCTCACTGTTTTCGAGGACAATCTCGCCTTCGTCACACAACACAACAACATGGGCAATTCTTCTTACACCCTTTCTCTGAATGCCTTTGCTGATCTCACCCACCATGAGTTTAAGTCCTCTCGCTTGGGCTTTTCCTCTGCTCTTCTCAGTTCTCTGCCTAAATTGGGTTCAAAGCTTCTCGATTTGAGGGACGTACCCGCTTCGCTTGACTGGAGGAAGAAAGGGGCAGTGACCAATGTCAAAGATCAAGGGAGTTGCGGTATGATTTTTTTTTTCCTATGGTTTTTTAAGATCCAAAATTTGGTTTGACTTTACATATTGTTTCTAGTATTCTGTTTTGTGCTTTTAGATGCAAGTTCTGATCGAGTGTTTGTGTTTGCGGCTTCAAGTTTTCGTGTGATAATTGATGGTTGACGTGTTTTGCCTTTGACCCACAAACGAGATGTGGCAGTGATTAGTTATTGATTGCCTGATTGAAAATTAGTGGACCATCAGACTAGATTAGAACTAGTAATATTGGTTTTCCCTACAGAAGGTAAAAAAATGTATCAATGATTTTATTATTCTACACTCAACTCTAAAACTCATTATGCCTCTTAATTAAGTTAGTAATGTTTGTAATAAATTTATTATTAGTATTACAAGGGAAATCCAGATGATGCTAGTCCTAGGCACTAGGCAGCCTGATCTCAAGTGAACTAAGTTTTAGTTTTAGGATAAGACGGATTCGGCTTTTGGATGAATAAGTTCTAGCTGGATGTTATATTTGCATAGATTTTTCATGAGATTGTGAACTGTATAGTGAGTGAAGGATGTGAATTGCTCTTTGGTTCTGGTTTAGGTGCTTGTTGGGCCTTCTCAGCAACTGGCGCTATTGAAGGCATCAATAAAATTGTCACCGGATCTCTTGTCAGTCTCTCCGAACAAGAGTTAATTGATTGTGACACATCTTACAACGCTGGTTGTGATGGTGGACTTATGGACTATGCGTACCAATTCGTTATCGATAACCACGGGATCGACACTGAAGAAGATTATCCTTACCAAGCTCGGGATAAGTCCTGTAGGAAGGAAAAGGTTAGTGGTAACGTATGCATTTCTTTTGTCTTCCAAATCTGCTCTTCTACTCGAAATAAGCTTAACCTGATCTTTTCAAAACATAATTTTGCAGTTAAAAAGGCGTGTTGTGACAATTGATGGCTATACTGATGTGGCACCAAATAATGGGCTGCAGCTACTACAAGCCGTGGTAACTCAACCAGTGAGTGTAGGCATATGTGGCAGTGAGAGAGCTTTTCAACTCTATTCCAAGGTTTGGCCCGAAGCTACATCTTAATGCCATTAGCTATGATTGATCGATCATGCTAATCTGATGCGCGAATTTCTTCCTTATGTGGGTAACAGGGGATTTTCACAGGTCCATGTTCAACCTCTTTGGATCACGCCGTGTTGATTGTAGGGTATGATTCAGAAAATGGAGTGGACTACTGGATTGTTAAGAACTCATGGGGAAAGCAGTGGGGAATGGATGGCTATATTCACATGCAGCGTAACACCGGGAACTCTCAAGGAGTCTGTGGTATTAACATGCTAGCTTCATACCCAACGAAGACTAGCCCGAATCCCCCTCCTTCGCCTTCACCAGGCCCTACCAGGTGTAGTTTCTTTGCTCAGTGTGGAGAAGGAGAAACCTGCTGCTGCTCATGGCGTTTCCTCGGACTATGCTTTTCATGGAAATGCTGTGGCCTGAATTCTGCCGTCTGTTGTAAAGACAAGATTCACTGTTGCCCCCAAGATTACCCCCTTTGTGATACACAAAGGAATGTATGCCTCAAGGTAGGTGCTATTATGGGGGGGGTTTTTTTTTTTTTTTTTTTTTTTTTTTTTTTTTTTTTTTTATACGCATGCTATTCATTTCAAAATTAACTCAATCATGCTCTCTTAGCTGAATTAAGCTCAAGATTTTCTATGATTCTCTGACATACTATTTTGATTTTCTTGAGGTTTCTTTATTTTTTTTTCCCCATACCCTTTTATCCTAAACTAGATGTGAGACCACAAGTTTTACCTTTGTCGTGACTTGCTGGGATCCCAAGTTACAAATAGAACTGCCCGGTTATAAATTTAAAACACGTTTGAGCGTAATGAGATATCATATGATTCCAGAGTACTAGGAATGCTACAATGGAAGCGTGTGAATATAGAGGCTCCTCCTTTGGGAAGTCCGGCCAGTGGGGTTCCATCGTTGAGGATTGGTTTTTCTGAAGAATCCCTAATACTAATGGTCAGAATTATTCTAGCACAAGCTGTTGTACAAGTTCTATCTTCTGTTAAAGGGAAAATATTTCTTTATGTAGCATTGGAACAAACGAGTTTGTACGAGTTCACACAATGTCACTATTTATTGTAGTTGTCAAAATTGCTGATCATGTATTTGAATAATACAATCTTTTTTTACAAACTAACAAGACAGCTTATAGCAATGTCTCCTTTGATGTTACAAGAGCATGCGGATTTTCGAACAAGAAAATAAAACTATATAAACGTCACCAAACGAGCCCATAGATACATAGCGCAATATACAACAAAATAAATCATCTTGATGTTAGTGAAACTGGTTAGTCATGCCAGTTTGGTCATTCTACATTTCTACTCTCACTAAACAGAGAATCAACTCGGATATGTTGACTGGAAAACAAAGAAAGTAATCAGATGGACAGGGGCAAGTAAACGAGGTACCGCATACCATCTTTTTAAGTGTTTGAAAAGTAGTAAGCTTGAATGGCTATAAATTATGATCATGTCAAGTAAATTTTACTGAACACAACAAGAAACAAATTCAGACAACAGAATCTTTTTCTATTGTACTTCGTTTCAAGCTAGATTACTAGGCAGAGACTCCAATAAAAAGAAAAGACCAAGAAATTGATATATTGTAATTGCAAAGTAGCTTACTGCATACCCAATTGGCTTTCCTTTCCAACTGTGTTACTATTCATTGAGTATATGAAAGAAGACCCGCAATTTCTCTCAACATCTAACAATACAATCTAAAATTCCAGAAACAAAGATGGAGCCAGATTGTATTCACATCAAAATGTACAAACTTTTCCCCTACAATCTCTACTTCACAAGATTGCAAGCAAATTCCCTCTTCAGTCTTCCACCTTCACTTTCCGATATATGTATAAGATTAATCTAATTTCCCAACACTAACCTCAGACGGATTCTGGTTCTGGCATTTTCACAATCACGTGGAGGGGAAAACGTCCTTGACCGCCGACGCCGCCGTCAAGTAATTAAGAGTGTTCCTCAAAGTCTCCTTCTCCCTCTTCAGCCTCGTCGCCGTGTCCTCCAACTCCAGCAGAGCCTGCTGCTCCCTCGGAGCCCCTTCGAAGGTGCTTCCGACGAAGAACGAAAACGGCGTCGGAAAGAGGTTCCTCCTCAGATCCTGAATCTCCTTCTCCGGCTTCCCTCCCAGCCTGTTCGAAAGCCGAATCACGTCCTTCATGTACGACTCCACCTCGTTCGCCAGCGCGTTCAGATCCTCCTCGCCGTCCGCCGACGGCCGGTCCTCCAGCCACGTCACCTTCGCGACGAGGTAGGGTTTGGTCCGCACGAGGTTAGTCACGCGGAAGCGCTCCTGGCCTTTGCAGATTAGGAAGAAGCGGTCGTCGACGAGGCGCTCGTGCTTGACGACCTCGCCGACGCAGCCGACGTCAGCGGTGCCGGAGACGGCATCGGAGTAGATGACGCCGAAGCGGAGGTCGGTCTGGAGGAGAGTATGCATCATCATCCGGTACCGGAACTCGAAGATCTGCAATGGAAGGATCGCTCCGGGGAAGAGGACGAGAGGGAGGGGAAAAAGCGGGAGCTCGACGACGTCGTCCGACTTCGGCGAGCCATCGTAGTGCCGCTCGGAGAACGACGACGCCGTGCACCGGAGAGCATTGGGCTTGCGGCGGTGGTGGCGGCAGCTGCGGCAGATCGAGGATAGGAATATCTGGTCTGGGTTTGAGGAAGAGGAAGAGAAGGTATTGGGGTTTAAGGTGGGTTTGTAAGAAGAGGAAGGAGAGGGAATAAGCTGAGGAAGAGCCATATCTACACTTATACAGAACATGTGATGTGAGAGAGAGAAGAGAAAGAGAGAGGAATTTTCAGCTACAGAGCCATTTATTTGTGTGTGTGTTGAGTAGTCGTGTTATTTCGACTTCTCCTGGCTTCTTTTTTTCTCTCTCTAAATCATATCTTGTTTTTCTCACTCTAGAAATTGGAAAAATCTGGTGGCGTTCAGGGGAGCGAAGGAGATGTGGATAATATGGAGAGAGAGGAAATAGAGGGAATGGATTGATTCGAGAAGAGGGGATGTGTTTGGGATTATTCCACGTGGGAGTTGGAGTTCAGCTTTGATTGGCTGGAGATTATGTGGCACTTAACAAACGTCACCTTTCGGAGAAAACTGTGAAATTAACCCACGACTGATTTTTAGGTGGTTCTTGTTGTTTGGTTAATCACTTTCCTTTAGATATTTTAATTGGCCTCCTGGGTTTGTACTGGGATATACCTCCCAAGTGCTTGCTGAATAATGTGAAAGAACAAAATCTCAGAGATTAACCAAACAATGGAAAGGAAATTAGCTGTGTGGGATTAATATATCGACTATCACTCTATTATGTAACCTTGTTTGAATTTGATTGAAACTAATGTGCTTTTTTTTCGATTCGTTCTTTCATTAAATAAATGGATAATAATAAAATTAAAACTAAAGGGTGAGTAGTTACTAATTAAGCGCTTTGGCATTGTTGACATTTCACATTCACTGTCTTTTGAGTTTTGACTTTGGTTTAATCTCGATAGTTTGGATCAAATTAACCATACCGGATTAATGTGTGGGCAGCAGTGGCAGAGTAGAACTACATCAGACTTGCATCCATTTGGGTCCATTTTTGGTTAATGGGCCATCAGAGAAGATCTGGATCCATGGGACGTATGAGTTGCTATATATGAGGACAAAATCGGTAACCTCACCTTTTAATGAATTGTTTTAAGATTTTCATCCTTTTGTTCTTGATTAATACCATTTTAACAATATAATTCTTACATAATCTTGACAAATACCTCTTGAAAGTGCATACATCAGAATTTTTACTCTTTATTCTTAATTCATAATCTCTTTAGTCAAATAATTACACTAACAAAAGAGTATTTATCAAGGATAATGGGTAAAAATCCCGACTTATGTACTCTCAAGGGTAAAATCTCTATTTTTGTATAGTTCTTTGACTAAAGAGTATTTATTAAGTTTAAGGGGTAAAAATATAAGACTTGTACATTCTAAAGGGTATTTGTCTATTTTTCTTATATATGAGGAAAAATCTGATTATTAAAAGGGGAATGGAGACAAATACCTCTTAGAGTGCATGAATCTAGATTTTTACTTTTAATATCGATTAATATCGTTTTTGTCAAATAAATAAATTAATCAAAAGAGTATTAGTCAAAAGTAAGAAGTACAAATTAAGACTCATGCACTCTTAAGGATAAACAATTCTCTCTTATTTTAAAAAGACCATGTATCAGTATTAAATTAATAATTGATTACAATATTAACTGGGGTTAAAAAGGAAAGTTAATATCAAAACTATGATCATAAAAAATTAGCTCACAATTACAACAAATCACCATAATCACCATGTAAAGAATATGCTCAAAATAAATAATAAGAGCATGCATGATATTATATATATCTTTTTAAAAAAGATATTTTTATGATATTGTATACTGGTAGACATTTTTAGATTCGAGACTTTCAAAGTAACACTTTTAAGTAATTATTTCCCTTTTTTTCCCAAAACCACTTTTTGAGTTTAGTTATTCACATAACCTATTTATGCTGAAGTAATTTCACACAAATAGTACACTTGAATATCCACTCTCTAAATGTCATTTTTCTCTAAATCATCCTTGTTTTTATCATGATTGTATCTACTCCATGGAGTTTATAATTCTGTATTGAAGAATTATACATCTATAGTATGTCTTTCAGAAAGTATACCATGCATTTTGAGTGTCATCATTTATAGCTGCAAATATATATATATTTTTTTTTATCAAATGCCTGCATTATCTAAATTGATGGTGGCGATATGTTAAGCCGAGTGAGGGCTACTGCCACTGCTAAGTTTTTAAAATATTATTTTTAGTGTTACATTTTGCATGTTATCCAATGAAAATTAGTTATCTAATGTTATCTCCACTAAATATTTCATCATAAACAATGGTGCAAAAGATTTTTTTATGATAGAACTTATGGCGCTGCTTCTTTTTAATGTTCTTAATGTTAATCATAGTTTTAGTATGGTCCTCCATTTGAAGGTTGGCTATGCCACCGATTTAGACTAGAACTCAATTTTAATAAAGATTAACTAAAATGGCATTAAAGAAGATCTTATCGAATCACTTTAACAATTTCTCTACAAGGAGAAGAGGAAATGAATTATGAGCTCTAGGGTTTCCCCAATTAAATCTAAACATGGTTAATACGACCTTGTAATCTATGCAAAAGTGATCGTTTTAGCCTTAATGTAATGACCGATAAAATTCTAGAATTAAATCATGTAAATTTATTTATTTAAGTAAAGGATTTTTTTCAGTAATATACTGTCATATTTTGTGACTGAAAGATTTATGAAATTAATATCAGTATTTCTAAATTCTGTAGCAACACTACAACAAATATCAGTATCAGTAGCTGACCAAAAACGTTATTAAGCACTACCAATAGCATTTTATGGAGCGCTAGGACATCGGACGCTATTAAAAGTAGTAAGAGAACATAGCATTCTAAGAGCGTTATGAAAAACGCCATAGAATTGAGGTCTTATAGCGTTTAAGACAAGTTATTTTCAACCTCTTACAACTATTTAGTATGGCTACGATACAGATTAATAGCTTTTTTCCCTTGTTATGTTTAAACTCTTGTAGCTTTTTAAAATTATTATTGATATACTTTTGAATTCATTCAAATGGATGGTAATTTCGAGCAACATCTTACATCCAAATAGGAACATTTAAATTAAAACATAAAAATATTCAATGTAATAATTGTTATTAGTATCTACAAAGTTGGCAATAAGATGTTCACAACACAAGTCACACCATTTGTCCACAACTTTAACATTAAAACAAGTAAAGAATACAGAGAAATAGCTAGAGATATCAAAGTATCCAAAACGTCTAGCCAAATGAAATGGTTAAGTAAATAATCCATCTTGACAAAATGCTCCAACAAAAAAATCATCTCCTCCAGCAAAGCAACTATTGACCTGTCACAAAATTAGTCCAATTAATTAAGTAAAACATATAAATTAATTAACTAATGAAGCACAAAAAGAAAAAACCAGATAAACCATACAACTAATGAAGAATAGTTTGTATAAGTAAAAGGAACGAGAAAGTGTGGATATTATTTGAAGTGTAGCAAGGGACAATACCATTGTAAATCATATTAACAAACAACCTTCAAAGGGAGCCTTGAAAAACATTGGATTTTAATAGGATTGTATTGGTGCAATAGACGGTACGCACATAATGGTTGTCCCACCTGCACATCAACAGACAGTCTATAGAGGAAGAAGACATTCGTGTACTCAAAATATAATGGCGGCGTGTAGTTTCGATATGCTATTCACTTACGTCAATACCGGATGGGAAGGATCAGCTACTGATTCCAGAGTGTTAACTGAGACTATGAGAGATCCAGATAACCAATTCTTTGTGCCACCTAACCCAAAATATTATGTTGTGGATTCTGGTTATAGCAACATGTAAGGCTTTTTGGCACCATTTCGTGGTCAGAGGTACCATATTCAACAGTTTAGAAACGGTGGCCAACCGACGAGACCACAAGAGTTATTCAATTATTATCACTCTTCACTGTGTAATTGCATAGAGAGGTGCTTTGGGGTCTTGAAAGCAAGGTTTAAAATTCTTAAGCTTATGACCAATTATTAGATGCTAAGACAATTGTTTATACCAATTACTTGTTGTGTGATCCACAATTTAATTAAGATGCACGCGCGAGATGATCCTTTATTTAGACACTATGATGTCAATTTACCCTTAGAAGATATCGAGGGAGAACAAGAAGGGCAACAAGAACAACAATAAGGTATGGATGCACAAGAAGCAGAAACATCTGAAATGGTTAGTTGGCGACAATGTAATCACATGGTTAGTTTTAGGGATTATCTAGTTGATCAAATGTGGGATTTGTATATACGGCAGTAATATAAGCTAAGATTATTCACTAAGTAAACTTTTTTTTTTACTAATCCTTCACTAAGTTATCTTTTTTTAAATTATTTACTATTTATTTGTAATGTAATTTAAATTATTATATTAATTATTAGTGTTTTATTTGGAATTCAATTATTATTTATCTAATATATTATTATTTTAAATACTAATACATGTTTTTAAAAATTAAACCACCAAATGCAGTTTTAGTTTTTTTTTTAACTGAAAACAATCTCTGAATAAAACTACCAAATGCATTTTCAGAAATGGTTCCAAAATGGAAATGAAAACGTTTTTATTTTCATTTTCATACAGAAAACAAAATCATTTTGAAACGAGTTCCAAACGCACACAAAATTTCTCTAACACTATGGGAATTCTCTCTGAAAAGTGAGAATGGGATGCAAAACTGAGAAAGGGAGGAGCTCTATTTATAGCTGAGCTCCCCCTAAGAAACCGTATGAGCCAGTTGTAAACAGCTAGATCTTCTCTTAAATGTCAACATCGAATTTGGTGCGGACTTCCCATTTCTCTCTCCCTTATTTTTTTTTCTTCTTTCCTTCAAAAGTTGTGGTTGCTTTTGGCTTATTAGGCAACGCTAACATTCTCCCACTTAGAGATTTGATTGAGAATCAATCATGTCTCCACACCATTCTTTCTACCTTGTCACTGTCATGCTGCTTACATTTCTGCTAGGCCACACAAGAATCTACACCATTTGAACTTGTCAGTATTTAGTGGCTTGGTCAACGCATATACTAGCTTCTTTTTTGTGTAAATCTCTTGCATATCCACACTTCATTCTTCCACTACTTCATGAACAAAGTGAAATTGAACTCCTATGTGCTTCGTCCTGGAATGAAAGTCTGGATTCCTTGCAATGTGCAAGGCGCTCTAGCTGTCACAAATAAAAGAATCTTCTCTTTGCAAGCTTGTGTAGTCACCATGTATACTGCTTTTGTTGTAGATTACGCTACAACTGACTGTAGTT